CCAAAATCACTCCACTGGCAATATTGGTTCAAGGCCTGGCTTCGCTAGGTGTGTCCAATCGGCATCGCACATCTAGAGTAAAAAACGGGCAGTAGTGTACTAGTATTCTCCTGGACCAGTCTAACGAATTTTACTGCAGTGAATATATACACAAATATATTAAATTTTCATTATTTGCTTATGCATCTTTCATCAATTCTACTTCACTGCATCTAACCGGGTACCTGTATTTGCTCGGGAGTTATATATATATGCAAGTATATATGTATATATTTACACGTAAAAATCTGTATTGTTTGTAAATATAATAAATATGCATGTCACCTGGTTGCTGTTTCCTTCATCTGTCACTTGATTGTGTTCTCACTTTCAGATGCAACCACTTCAATCCAGTTAAATCTGGCGATTTTAAGAATTTGCCTGAGCATTTGGCAACATATGGATTCAAAAATGGCAAAATGATGCTTGTAGGTACTTTTTTTTCATAATTTGGCATATGCATGTGAAGTGAGTTGTAATTTAACAACAATAAGTGCAGTAATGAATGTTGAGAATTGTTGAAAGAAGCAAATTATTAAAAATTCTTTAAATTCTCAGCCAATCATTAGTTCTCAATTCCTGGTATCGCTACAACAACAAACTCAGGCATCAAGCTGGTTACTGGCGCACCTAACTAAGTAACATCTAAGTAAGAAATGAACTCAGCTTTACCTGCGAAAAAAATTGAATGAGCTGAATTTAACCAAATATTTAATATTTTCTTTAGCATTTCTATTTTTTAATATTGATTATACTAATTTGAGATAATGGGTCGGGTCCTGTGACCAACTACAAAATTGGATCTGACAGAAATTTCGTCAGTCCATAGTATTTAAGCAGAGCAGCAGTAAAAATTTCAGTCCAATAATTTCCGATAAAAAATGTTGTGTAAATATATATATCTACCAAGCAGAATTTTAATATAATGTTTATTTTATACTTTACCTGTATTTTTAACTTTGTTCCGTACTTGTTTGTCCCATCTGTGTTGAGCATTTTCATGTTGTTTTTTTTTTATCGCTTTTTTTTGTTTTAAATTTTTGCTGTTTTGCAACAGAACCAAGGAAAACAGAAAATTCTTTTATGGTTTGCCGACGTGTTGACATTGCTTGTTAACGCCAATATGACAAAGAACCCAGCAAGAACAACAACATACAATACATATACAGTAAATACATGCAAGCGTTTGTAATGCAATAATGACAAGAGAGTTTAAGAAAATATAATATACATAACTGCGTTCGTAATAAGAAAGTGTTAAGCAAGCATAAAAACAACAAGTACTACAAAAGTAGAGCAAACATAATTTTTTTGAAAGTAAATATTGTGTTTGATTTTTTTTTTTAAAGAATTAATAGGATAAAAGAAATTTCGAACCCTCTTATGCTCGACCAATTTAAAGAGAAAAAGAGCTGATCTAGTTTCTTACGAAAAATACATGGAGGACCAGAACTTTCGCATGCCACCTCAGCTATCTAATGCAGGTGAACTGATGCATTTATTGGGGGAACAGATTAGTTCGGTGCTTTCTAAAATGATTGCTCCAGCTGCCCGTAATGACCGACTTGGAAAACGAAAATTTTTACTCATCAGAGTCTGTTTTTGACAAAAGCATGGCTCGTCCTCAAGTGACAGTAACTGCTCAAATGCAGAAATAGGAAGTCTCAATCTCCTTTCGATTACTGGCTTTTTTGGTGGATACTAAATGTTTTCGGAGATCACCGGTTCTCTTTCGAAGAATATCTGAACGGCTAGATCGAAGGCAGAGTAGACTTAGAGCTCGTGCTTAAAACTTACCAGATAGATAAGAAAAGGCAGTCGCTAACGCACGGACAATGCTTTGAATGATTTAGTTTTCACTTTTTTCAATAAAAAACAATTTTTTGAACCCTCGAACCGAACCGAATTATTTTGTGCTCACTCTATAACCAATTTACTTTGGACCATATTGGTTACTTGCTTTTGAAACTTTCTAAAATATATTAAAATTAAATTACATAAAAAATTAAAAATATTCAAAAATAACAAAATTTACAACTCAGCTGGCAAAAAAAATATATTTCAAATGGTTTTACTGTCCTATAAAGTGGAAACTTTTACATATACATAAATACACACTTGGGTAAACGGGTTTTGCAAAACATCAGGCGATATTTAAAAACACACCAACAACAAGTCTATAAATAAAGGTTGCCATAAAATTACCATTAGCAGCAATAAATAATTGTAATTACATTTGAGTTAAGCAGAGAGAAAATAAAAAACATTATGAAGTTAGGAAAAATAACGGTACGTGTAGTAAATACAATAAATAGTCATAAATATGTGTGTTTTATGTACATATGTATCTATGTATTATGAATGTATATATTATATACATAAATATTTTTGCACCCTACCTTTCTCCACCTAATTTGTGTGTGTGAGTAATTACCCTAATGTAAAGTACAAAAAATATTTGCAATAACAACAAGTACAGTAAACATATTAACAGCGTTTGTGTAAAAAAAAAAATCATATACATATATACATTCAGACATAAGTATATGAGCACAAATTAACAAGTATAAATAAAATGTCAACTTTGTTATCGCCGACCAACCGACAGACACACCCAAGAACGCGCCTAGTCAAACCCCCTGGTTGGAAAAAATTAAACCTTTTTATCCAACACCGCCACCTATTATATACATATGTATACATAACTGAATGTTTGTATGTATACTTGTTTGAAGGCAAGTGTTTTTTTTTTTAGAAAATATTACTCATAACGTTCAATGTCGCCTAATGGCAGTGCAAGCTAGACAGTTTGTCACTGTTACGATGGGTTAGGGACCGCACAGCGACACCTCCAATAACCCTCTACCAGGCAAAAGGTATTTTTGCTGTAGAAAATGTTAAACATCTTTTTGGTTTGGTTTTGAAACCATAAATTATTATTTTTTGCGTCATAGCTGACTAGCGGTGGGGCAAGGTAAATAGATAATCATGTATGCGCGGTATATAGGTGCCTCTAGAAGGTGTTAGGCAGTTTCGCACCTACTCTCTATAGACAGATCAATTCTAAAATTAATGTTTTTAAGTGAAATTAGTGAGTTTTTGAGAAGTATTTTAGTTATTCTGAAATTTATTTGACTATTTTGTAGACTTCATTTGCACTTTTCAAAATCTATTTTATTTTTCAGTTAACCTTGTAAGCCTTATTTATCGATTCCTTATTTCCTTATCCGCTTTAAATTTCCAGTATATGACTGCTGAAACTAATTGTGAGATCATTGGATCTTTCTTAAATTTGTTTGACTAAGACAATTTCTTAAACATCTTTTTAGTTTTCTAAACTTCAACAATAGCTCCGGCTGCAGTTACTTCTGTCCTAAACTGCCTGAGCGTCGTCTCAGGTAATTTCTGTTCCAGGCTAATTGGAAAAATTTGGGACTCGGAGGAAAGGATGCGTAAGGAGTCCATCACCCTCCATAAATGTCAAAGTGCGGAGCGAAAAGCCTGAGTGCAGTGGCCTTACATTGCAGTTCTCAGACCAATATTTCTCTTTGGAGTTGTAGTTTGGGGGCTACGCCCGAGACAAAATCAGCCACCAATAAAATTTATACAGCAATTAGAATAGCAGAGGAGGGCGGTCCTGTGTATTAGCGGAGCATTATATACCACGCTAACTGAGTTAATGAATATCCTCTGGGATTTTGGATGTGAAAGGGTCACGTGACCTTAACGAGTTGTCCTTAGGATCCATTGGGTGGCATAAGTGAGCTGATCAAACAAAGCTCAATTTACAACTCCAAAGTCTTTCTTAGGTCCAACTGTAGCTGTTATGTGATGAAGATCTACTCGTAACTTAAAGCTTTTGAGATTTTTCTCTGCTCGGAGACAGGCTCACTCTTTTAATCGTTTTTCTCTGAGAACTTGATTTTGCAATAGACCGACTGTAATAATTTGACGCTTGCGCTATCTACAGGTTTGGATGTTCGTCATAAGTATTTATTTATTATCTGTACAGTTATGTATGTGTTCACAGAAGGTATAAAGGTTAGGACAAATCCATTTATTCTTGTTCTTCCTCAAACTACATTTACATATACATGCATATCGTGTTTTTAATTTTTCTGTCAACGTCTAAACTATTTACTCGCCAATTACCTTTCTACTTTTAAACCATACTTTACATGCATTTATGTATTTATAGATGTACGTACTCATGAAGGTACAAAAATTCGACAACCTTTGTTTGTGTCATCACATTTATCGCGTTTTAAGCGCACAACGCTTCCATTACGCTCAAAACGGGGCGACCCAAACTTGATTCGTGTAGCAAAGTATTTGGAAGTTAAAAAATATAAATAAAAATTAAATATACTATGAATTGTGAATACTTACGAGCATATGCATGCATGTATATGTGTGTGTGAACTCATATATATATATGTGTGAATATGCAGACTTTTATGTTATTGTCAACAACAATCCATATATGTATAACGTCTCATTATACAAATTTTGTTGTTGTTTCCATGTCTTCTTCTTCCCATCTACATGCCTTTCATGATGTTTCCGTTTTTTTTTTTATTTGTTTTTGTTGCATTTTAATCATCTGGGGGCCAATAACAATGTACAACAGCCAACAACCGTCATTTGCAACAAGCGTGCGGGGCCAGAGACGCAGCTGGGTATGGTAGCAATAAGTACTGTTGCTGTTTTTGTTGTTGTTGTGGCTGTTGTATGCAACAAAAAATTTACATAAACACAATATTGTCAACCATAATCATATATAGGTATGTACATATGCATATAAAAATACTTATATGTACATACATAACTGTATAATAGACAAATTATATGAGGGTGTGTGTGTGTGTTGTATGTATATATGTATTTGGCATGGTTTGGGTTATGACATTAAAGCGTTTTGCTTGCCACATGTGAACTTGTACTTAAATCCCCAACCAGCTGACACACACACACAGACACAGTTTAAGGCTTTTCTCGCTACATATTTGTATTTCGTTGGTTCAAATGCTGCGCTTATTGCGCTTGGGTTGGCTTGGCTTGCCTCATTTGCAGACGAGTTGGCTATTCTTGTTTGTCATTAATTTGTGTATTTGTAATTTGAAAACAAAATTACATATTCTACGTACATAAATATATTTGTTGTATTTAAATTTTTAATATTCTTATTCAGTTGTTGCATGGTCATGTGCGCTACTGTTTGTACGCTATGGCTTGCCTTAATGGTTCTCTGCGGCATTCTCATGCTTGTCATATGATCGCTGTTCCAGGTTATGCGATGTGGCATGCCTTTGCTGCGGTTTCACATGAGAAGGGTTTTGTATGCCAACAACATCGATTAATTGAAAGCGGATATTTTCTCTGACTTAAAGCTGTAAAGGATTGCTCGGTATATATACAGGGAAGCTTCTGGGAGGCATAGTTTTTTAATGAAACGTAGGTGAAGTAAATTTGGTGATTTGGGTGTAGTCAAGCTTCTGGGTATCCTATTACATTAGCGAGGCTATACTGAATTCCTATTCTTGCGTCCACGTCGCGCACCCTGCGCAAGATGCAGTACCCAACCTGGGTGGAGTTTTGAGTCACGGTTAATGAGAGAGGAAGCATCAGTGGAGCCACTCCGACTTATTCGGTTGCAGCGTCTGTTCACCAGAGGTGCAGTTGCGAGCGGACGTCGTTCTTGAAGCAAGCGGCTTGCTATATAAATGTGTAAAAACTTTATAGCTCCAACGAAAAGTGCAACAACGCCTCGGAAGGGATACCCCCAGTTAGAGTGCTGGATATGTTAAGTTCAGTAAGAAGTAATCAATAGTTTTTGCATTGAAATGAAGCCTTTTTTTGTTATTAGTTAGAGTTATTCGTTTTAGTCAAGTGTGCACCGTTTTGATTTTAATTTCTTGCCATTTTGAATATAACGTCATTATGCCTCCCACGAAACCCTTATTGTCAACCCCAACAAACTTACAATACTACCTTCATGGGCGTCAATCCTTGAATACCGTTTAGGTCGCCACGTTGTCCTTCGACTACGATCGTTTTCGTTTAACGTTGCTTTAAGTGATCCACTTTTCATCACCAGTCATCATCCGCAATGGTAATGGCTCGATTTTGTTACGTTTTAGCTGCGATTGATAGGTGGAAATTCGGGCCAAGAGGTTTTCTCTCGTTGACTCATGTCAAACTGTTTTTTATGCAAGATTTGGCTCCTGGACAATCGAAGCAATGCTAACACGACTGCCCGACTCGGTAATTACCTTTTCGATTAGTAGCCTTCCTCACCTTGCAGCATCTTTAACATCTAAATTACCCTAAGGAAATCGACGAAACCAAATATTTTCAGGATTGACTGTAGTAACATCAGTACCATAGACAGTAGTCATATTTTCAGCAATCTGACTTACCTTTCCGCTATATCGAAAACCAATTGCAGATTAAAGCGTATTTTCTCTTTGCTCGTGTCCATCTCTGCGCTGAAAAACTACTAGTGATCAACCCTCCTCTCATTATCTTTTTTTGTCCATCTTTCGTCTTCCATCATCCTTGTAAAGCCATTTTCCTTAATCAAATCGAGCTCATAGAAATTTCAAAAATAATGGTTTTCCATTATTCAGAAATGAATTTTGAAAATAATATTTCCACTCCCATTATCCAATTCATATTATCAGGAGAGCTGATCGAGTTAAGCGTTTATACTGTTAGGATTCTCTCTCAGAATTCTGTTCTCAAGAGAAGAGGAGGAAAGTGGCAGAGTTTTGATACTAAAATGAAGAAAATAAATAAATTTGCCGTAAAAATAATTGAAACTTTTAACTCACCGACTGTAGCGCCAACGCATTTGTTGTACGATTGTTCGAGGCAAATATCACAGTTCACATTTTATTTGTTCATTGTTCAATTTACTTTGCAATTTATTGAAATTTAAATTTAAATCAGCACATGGAGCAAAACAACAACAATAATAAATTAATAAAAAAAAAATAAAATAAAATAAATGAAAGCAGAATGCCAAGCGAACGAATAACAGCACAAGCAAAACAACGGATATAATATAATAACAACAACAACAACAACAACAACAACAACAACAACAACAACGAAAATAATAAAAGCATTTGTTTGTCAAACGCTGGACATCGATATTGTTGAGACTCGCTGCTGTGCCACAGTTGCTGCTGATAATGTTGTTGTAGTTGTTGTTGCTGCTCTAGTGCTGGCGGTGATGTAAGTAAGTAAATAGCAGTATTAAGTGGGCATCGCTGTTTGTCGATATTGTCACATATGCAAGTATACGTACATAAGTATATATTGTATATATATATATATATATATATATATATATATATATATATATATATATATATATATATATATATATATATATATATATATATATATATATATATATATATATATATATATATATATATATATATATATATATATATATATATATATATATATATATATATATATATATATATATATATATATATATATATATATATATATATATATATATATATATATATATATATATATATATATATAGCCGTATGTGTGTACATATTGCTATGTATCTGCAGTATATTTTGCTTGCTTTTATCGTAACGATTTTTTATTTATTTATTTTTTTTTCATTTTTCATTTTCATGGCGAATCGGTTTTATTTTGCATCTCATTGCGGGCGACAGTAAAACAACAACAACAACAACAGCGAGGGAGTAGCAATACAATTAATAAAATACAATCGTGTATAAAAAAGCGCTAACAACAACAGAAACAACAAAAAGTAGTGTGCAATTAAAGGGGGGTGTGAAGACCCCAAGTCCAAGGCCTTGGAGCCTCCACAACAACAACAACAACAACAGAAACAACAAAAAGTAGTGTGCAATTAAATTAATTGCTATGCTAAAATGTTGTAAAAATAAAAATAAAAATTTAATTCAAAATTACAAATGCATATCAGCAAACAAATAAATACATATATTTACATACATACAAATAGTATACTATATACATTTATATGCTCGTATAGTATATATGGATGTAGCGTATCTGCTGTGGCACGAGCATTGCTTGCGCGCTTAAACGACCAAACTAGAGATTGAGCTGGAGGCTGGAGGCTGGTTGGCTGGTTGGCTGCTTGGCTGACTGGCTGTGGGGTCGCTGAGAAGCGCTACATTCAGCTTTGAAGCTCTGTGCCACGGCGCTTGAGAAAAACAGCTTGCCTCGAAAGTCGAAAGAAAATTATTGCAATGAAAATCGCAATAAAAATTAAAATTAAAAATTTATGCACAAAAACTTGTTGACAACATGGTTGTGAGTGAGTTTGTGTATAGTAGATACATATATTATTGTTGCTGAAATTAAAAAAAAAAAATATTGTTGAAATATTATTACAGCTTATCTTCTGTCAAGTCTGCCTGCCAATTGACGGTCGAGCGGTCGCTAATGCTGAGTGTATATGTATGTGTGTCTCTTTGTGACGGTGTGTTTTTGCTTCTCCTGCAATTTGTTATTGTTATTAATATTGTTGTTATTATTGGCATTGTCGTTATGCCTGGCGACATGTTGTGACGTTTGCTCGGCGATTGTAATTTGCAATATTGCCACTGCGCTGCCTGCTGCGGTTGATTGCCACCGTCGGTGTTGCATGCATATGTTGTATGCCACTAAAGAGTTGAAAACGAGACTTTTAAATTGAAAAAAAAAAACAAATAAAATGCTTTGCAATAACACGGGTGGGTTTAAAAAGGTTTGTTGCGCAAAAAAAAATATTTAAAAATTTAATAACTAATAAAAAAAGTAAAAATAAACAGAAGAAAGAGGATTTGCCATAGAAATTTTTTTTTTGAAAAGTGTTGCCACCCGTTTAATTTTGAGCTTGCGATCTTGAAAATCTGAGATTTGATAAACTATTTTTAATTTTTTGAACAAAACAAACCGTGAAAATAGTTAAAATTATTTTTGGCTAAATTGTTTTGAATTAAAGTACAAAATACGCCATCCCCTTTTTTTTAATTTTTAATCAAATGAAAGGAAATTGGTTAATCGAATTGAATTGGAATTCTATTTGACATGCAAAAGATACTTTTTTACTTTAGTTTCTTCTGGCAGCCTTCATTTCGGTTTTCGCTGTTCCGAAGAAAAAACACAAAAGCTAATTTTCTTTATTTTTTTCACAATCACGTCTGCTTGGAAATGAATTAAAAGTATTATAATAAATAATTTTAAGTTCTCAAACCCACTTCCCCTATTCTTGGTGAAGCCTTCATTTCCAAGATTTCGTTCCAAGGCTTGCAAAATAAATTTAATTAAATATAACCCTTTTAATAACCTCTTCGAAAATTTTTTTTTGCCTCAAGGCTCGGAAACTAGGGACTTCAAGATTCAAATCTTGTTAAAGCTTCGATTGGGCTTTTTGGAAAAAAATAGAAATGTAGACATCCATTAAATATTAAATTGGTTTTTATTTTATCTCTTTGGTTTTGGAGATATTTTTTCTTAGAGTCTAGTTTTTAATAAAGAAAATAAATATTTCATATGCTATGCACGTCGCGTTGTTACTAATTTATTTAGATGAGAAATCATAAAATTAATAATTTTGTTCACATTTTTACGTCTGACTAAAATTCAAATTAATTATAAAAAAATATAAAAATAGCTTAAGAATAATTTCACTGAATGTATCTAAAGTGTTTCTGCCTACTTCTAGAATTAATTAAATATTCTTACTAAAAGCCAAAAAAAAAAAAATTATAAAACAGAGCATAATAAAATAAGTCTTATAAATCTTATAGAGTGTTTTCTTGCGTCAGAGACTTGCCACAGCAGCCCAAAATACACCCTGACTTCATCGGCATTGCACCTGCAAAAGCCAAATTCGAACAGCACGAAACAACAAATCACCATTTACGAGAACCGACTAGCAAGTAGACGTGAGTACATTGCACAGAATCTCATTTTTTATTTTTCTTTCCCCTTGTTTCCTTTTTCTTTTTTGCAGCAATAGCGCACAAAAAGATCTTTCAGATTGATATGGAAAGGCACAAGTTTATAGGAAATCGTGGCGATATATAATATGTTCATAGCAAATGCTGCTTAATTTATTTAGTGTCAAGTGTAATGACAGCCAACGCAAATAAATGGCTGGCTGAGGTGGGAGGGAAGAACCGCTGTGTTGCAGCGAGGAGGCGGTAGTAGTTGGCGTGAAGGCGGCTTTTGGTAAGGGTTGACTAAATCAACAACATCTGAAATTATTATGGTGCCGTTGGTTAGTTATTGTTGTTTTTGTTGCTGTTGGAGGCGCAGAGTACAAAGCAAAGCAATGAACCAACCAGTCAACCAACCAACCAACCAACCAACAGGCGAACAAGACCGGCAGCTGCCCAGTCCAACGAAAACTAACAAGTGGCGAACACTTGCCGAGGCAGCCACATTGCAGTGGCAATCAGCTGACATTACATAAACCCCACACACACACATACACATACATACATCCATCCATCTAGGGAGTCAAAGCAGGCCGATAGCGTAGTCGAGTAGTTCGCCAATTAGCCGGCGCGACAGTCAGTCAAATGCGACATCACGACAGTGAGACAGCGAGCGAGTGCCATGGCCCGGCAGCGTGGCTGCGCCAACTGACTTGTCTGTCGTTCGGGTATCCAGTTAGCCGTGTATTGCTTTATTTAATTAAAATTTATCACTATAATGAATATGAACAGCGTCGAAACAAACAAAAGCAAAATCAACAACAAATATGGCAATGGTAGAACATGAGCGACCGCGAGCGGGGGTGGAAGGGAGGTTGGGCTGTTGTAGCTCTCTACAAGTAGAGTGTGTTTTTGTTGCCGCTGATTTGTAACAAATGTGGGTTGAAAAGCGCGAGCCGACCAGAATTTATACAGTCTTGTACATATTTATAAATGAATATACATATATGTGTGTACGTATATGTATGTAATTCTATATTATAAGCGCTGTAATTGCAATTGCTACAAGCGGCAAGTAAGCCATAGCCACAGCAACAAGCTATCATCAGCATTTATATAATAAATATGCTTTTTGTTTGAGTTGTTGCTGTTGTTGGGTTGTAGAAAAACACAAAAGGATGATCTAATCACGGAGGGCGTTAAAATTTAAGATTGTTTGCTATCTATTGTTGTAATTACAAAGAAAATTGTAGTTGTTAGGCTTAATGTTCGTTTTTGTTACCGTTGGATAACAAAACGGTGTATTTGTCATTAATAAGGGTTTATTTTATAGCTAGTCCGTGGGGGTTTTAAGGCAGTCAGGTAGGCATGCGGCAGGGAGACTATACCAAAAACCACTACTTTTTCATTTTTATATTTCTTTTTTATTTTAATTGAATTTTATATTTTTTGTTTAATTTTATTTTAAAGGATTTTATTTCATATAATTTTATAAAAACTATTTTTATTTGATTTATTTAAACGTAACTTAATTTAATTTAATTTAATTGAATTTACAGATAATTGGCGCTTTGTAACCGCTGAAGCGATTTTTTTGGCCGAGCTTCTCCCTCAATTTATTGGTGGTTTGCGTCTTGATGTTTTACCAACAAATGTAGGGACCTACAGTTGATACTAAGCCGCCTCCTAACGGTTTATGGTCTTTAAGAAGAGCGTTTATTTCATGTCTGAAATACACTCGTAGGGAAAAACATTCCCTGCAGAGGGGTGACCGCAATTAAAAAATTTAATTTTTAATACCTTTTGGATGCTGGTGGCACCGGGATTTGAACCTGAGCCTTTCGTGTGTCAGTACGCAATGCTTACCGCTCTTGAGGTTAATTTAATTTAATTTAATTTAATTTTATTTAATTTTAATTAATTTTATTTAATTT